CTTCATTTAGAAGACAAAAAAAAAAAAAAAATTCTATACCAGGAAACTTCGAGAACTCATGAATTCAGCAAAGTAGCAGGATATAAAAGTATTGCATTCCTATACATCAATAATGAATCAACTGAAAGAGAAATTATGAAAACTATCCGATTCACAACAGTCTCAAAAAATATTTCAGAATCAATCTAACAAAAGAGGTTAAAGAACTCTATAATGAAAACGATAGAACATTAAAGAAATTGAAAAGAACTTAGAAAATGGAAAGATCTCCCATGTTCTTGATAGGCAGGATTAATATTGTCAAAATGAACATACTCCCAAAAGTGCTATACAGATTTAATACAATTAAAAATAAAATTCCAAGGATGTTCTCCATAAAAATAGAAAAAGCAGTCTTAAAATTCATTTGGAAAAATAAGAGGCCAAGAATAGCTAAAGCAATCCTTAGTTATAAAAGTGAAGCAGGAGGCATCACAATACCAGATCTTAAATTATACTACAGAGCCACAGTAAGAAAAACAACATGGTACTGGCACCAAAACAGACATGAAGACCAATGGTACAGAACAGAAGATACAGAGGCAAACCCACATAAATACAGTTATCGAATACTAGAGAAAGACTCCATAAATATACATTGGAGAAAAGATAGCCTCTTCAACAAATGGTKCTGGGAAAACTGGAAATCCATATGCAGCAAACTGAAATCAAACCCTCCATCTCTCATGCTGCACAAAACTCAACTTAAAGTGGATCAAGAACTAGGCATTAGACCAGAGGCCTGCACTTACTAGAAGAAAAAGTAGGCCAAAAAATTTCCATCATGGGCTGGGGATGTGGCTCAAGCGGTAGTGTGCTCACCTGGCATGCGTGGGGCCTGGGTTCGATCCTCAGCACCATATACAAACAAAGATGTTGTGTCTGCCAAAAACTAAAATTCTCTCTCTCTCTAAAAAAAAAAAAGTTAAAAACAATTTTCCATCATATCAGCTTAGGAACTGAATTCCTAAGATTCCAAGGTTCAATAAATGGTATGGTATTGAACTAAAAAGCTTCTTAAACAATCAAGAATGTGAAGAGAGAGCCTACAGGATTGGAGAAAATCTTTCCCACCTGCACCTCAGATTGAGCATTAATCTCCAAGATATATAAAGAACTCAAAAAACATATCCCAAAATAACAAACCAACCAGTAAATGGGCAAAGGAACTGAACAGACATTTATTTCATAGAATAAGAAATATGATTGGTCAAGAGATATATGAAAAAATGTTTAACATTTCTAGCAATTAGAAAAATGCAAATTAAAACTACACTGAGATTCCATCTCACTCCAGTCAGAATGGCAATTATCAAGAATATAAGAAACAATAAATGTTTTCGAGGGTGTGGGGGAAAAGGTACACTTATACATTCCTGGTGGGACTGCAAATTGGTGCAACCATTTTGGAAAGCAGTGTACAGATTTGTAAGAAAACTTGGAATGAAACCACCATTTGACCCAGTTTTCCCACTCCTTGGCATAAACCCAAAGGACGTTAAATCAGTATACTATAGTGACATAGCCACATCAATGCTTATAGCAGCTCAATTCATAACTGCTAAGCCGTGGAACCAACTTAGGCACCTTTAAACAGATGAATGGATAAAGAAAATGTGGTATGTATACAAAATGGAATATTACTCAACTATAAAAATAAAATACGAAATTATGGCATTTGCCAATAAATGGACAGAACTAGAGATTATGATGCTAAGTGAAATAGGCCAGTCCCAAAAAACTAAAGGCCAAATGTTTCCTCTGATATGTGAATGCTAACATAAAGGACAGCGGAGGCAGGGGGTGGGTGGAGGGGACCAGAAGTACTTTGGATTACACAAAGGGGAATGAAGAATGAAGGGATGGGAGGGGAGATGGGAATGGGAAAGACAATAGAATGAGTCTGACATTACTTTCCTATCTGTATGTATGAATACACGACCAGTGTAATTCTACATCATGTAAAACCACAAGAATGGGAAGTTATACTCCATGTATGTATAATATATCAAAATACATTTTACTATCATGTATAACTAAAAAGAACAAATTAAAAAAATAATCTACAAACCCCAGAAACTCAACAAAGCCTAATAAGCAGGATAACTACAAATAAATGCAGACCTAGACTCACTGTTCAAACTCTTGAAAGCCAGAGAGAAAAATTCTAAAAGCAGTAGGAGAAAAACAATTTATCACATATAGGAAACAATGATCAATAGCCGACCTTTTGTTATAAACAGCAGTGGCCATAAAGCAGTGAAACTACGTGTTCAGAGTGCCAAACAAGAATTGTAAATCCGTTAAACACCGTCCTTCATAAATGCATTAGAAACACATTCAAAATAAAGATTAGGAGAATCTTTACTGGTGTACTTCTTGTACATGGAATATTGAAGTAGTACTGTAATGAGAGAAAATATCAGCCTTGGTAACTTAAATCCACAGGAAAAATGAAGAGCAGCAGAGGTGGTCATTGTGTGGGTAAATATAAAGAATTATAGGAGCTAGGGATGTGGCTCAAGTGGTAGTGCACTCGCCTGGCATGCGCAGGGTTCTATCCTCAGTACCACATAAAAATAAAATAAAGATGTTGTGTCCACCAAAAACTTAAAATATATATTAAAAAATTTTCTCTCTCTCTCTAAAAAAAAAAAAAAAGAAATAACTATAAATTATTTCTTCTTAAATTTTTTGGAAGACTTGTTTTAAAGAATAATTATAACATCATACAGTTTAACATATAAATGACAATATATAAATACAATATATATATATATGTAAAATTTCTATAGGTTTCACATATATATCATATATATATATCATATATATATATATATGATAACAGCACAAAGGAGGGAGAAGAAAATAAAACTAAACTGGGACAAAGTTGCTGTATTTTATCACACATTAGTCAACATTAATCTGAAGTAGGCTGTGAAAAGTTAAGATGCCTACCAGAATATCTATATAGCTACTACCTAAAAAAACAACTCAAAAATAGTAAACACTGGGGCTGGGGTTATGGCTCAGCGGTAGAGTGCTCACCTCACATGTGCAAGGCCCTGGGTTCGATCCTTAGCACCACATAAAAATAAATTAAAAATAGTTATTGTGTACAACTACAAAAAAATATTTTAAAAAATTAGTAAACACTTTTTAATCTCATAAATATTTATTTAACACAATAGGCAATAAAGGAAAAATTAATAACAAAAGAAACACAAAAAGCCAACTGCAAAATGGCAGACACAAAGACAACTGTAATTATACTAAGTTTTAATGGATTAAAAACTCCAATGGAAAAAAACAAAGCTTGACTGACTGGATAAAAAAAGTAAGACCCCATAATATGCTATCTGCCAGACTCTAAATTGAAAAATGTAAATAGAATAAAAGACAGAAAATGATGCACATGCAAAGAGTGATCACAAGAAAAATGGAATAGCTGCAGTTATTACAGACAAAATGGACTAAGATAAAAAATTTTATTAGAGACAAAAAAGATAATTTATAATGAGAAAGAGCCAAAACATCAGAAAGATATAACAAATATCAAGGCATGTACACCTAAAAACAAACCTCCAAAATACACGAAACAAAGTCCAACAGAAATTAAAGGAAAAACAGGTAATTGAACAATTCTAGCCAGAGATTGTAACACCCCACTCTTAATAACCAATTGAATGAACAGGCAGAAAATCACAGCTATAGCAGACTCGAACAACACTGTCAATCAAATTGACCTGTCATCTTTGGACATTCTATTCAACAAAAACAGACTACACATTCTTTTCAGGTGCCTGTGAAACATATTCCAGGATTGACCATGTGCTAGACCACAAAATAACAAAAATTTAAAAGGGCAGGAATCATTCAAAGCATATTCTCCAATAACAAAGAGATATAAAATAAACACCAGAAAGAAATTTGGAAAACCCCCAATTCTTGGAAATAAAATGGCATATTTCCAAACAACTTATAGGTCAAAAAAGAAATCACAAGGCAAATTAGAAAATATTTTGAACTAAATGAAAACAAATATAAGATACCAAAATCCATGAAGTATTGTTAACAGTGCTGATGGAAATTGAGGGATTTAAATACTTACATCAGTAACCTAAACTTCTACTTTATAAATGAATAAGAATGATTTAAACTTAAAGCAAGCAGATGAAAAGAAATAAAAATCAGAGGGAAAAATCAATGAAATCAAAGTCCTTCTATGGGGGGAGGGGAGGCTTGAAAATACAGATAACACAGAATACCAAAATCAGGAGTGAAAAGAAGGGACATCATTACTGACTTTACTGAAATTAAAAGGACTATAAGAGAATGCATCTAACACTTTCATATCCCTCTGTACAAATCTGTAAAATGTCTAGAAAACTGATATTTAGGTGGACATCCATTTCTGCATGTGTTCTCCATTCAGAATTACAACCTCCAACCCCAGCACTTGTAAGTCAGGCAATTCTGCACTAACGTAAAATTTCTATAGGTTTCACATTTTTTGCTAGACACAAAGCTTATTATTTCAAATTTTCAAAAAGTAATATTTCAGATAAAAGAGACAAAGTCTCTGGATGTGACATAAAATAATATAAGTTATCAACTGAAAAAAAATCAGACTAATATTTTAAATAATGAAACCAGGACACAGATCTGTATTTTAAAGCAAAACCTCTTTTATCTAAATGAAAGCAAGAATCAAATTTTTGAGTAGACATTTCTAGGAAAAGTACGTCTAGACTAAGTCTATATCCTCACAACATGGACAATTTCAAAAATTACATTTGGCTGGTCATATATACAAATAATCCAAGTTTATATTTCTTCCTGAGTGAACTTGAAGCATGATGTTAATGTTAATATGAACTACAAAATAATTCATGACAATTCTACAGATTATATGCAATTTTATTTAAATAATTTAACACTGCAGAGTGAGCCAATTTATAAGTATAAAAATAGATAGTTTAGCAACCAAATATAAGCACCACACAGAAGCAGATTATAAACACACCATTGGCCTTTAGAAGATTAAGGCAACATAAATATCTCAAGTAATTTTATGAGAATACTTTACTCATATAATAGATGTTATTAAAACATCTCAATATAGCTAGAGCCCACAATTTTTTTCAGTACAAAGTCTTCTCTTGTTGATATATTAATGATTCTTCTTAAATAGAGCACAACAATTAGTCTAGATTAACAAATGGACTATCAAAGCCACTATCTTGTTGGCCTGATAGTGGAATAATTGATTTTCTTGCAGGCTGCCGACATACTGAAGATGGAACTGTACTGCTCAGCTTTTTGGAATCTGACTTGAATATATCAGCCTTATGATGCACTGGGTGTCCGGGAGTCACACTGGTCTTCCCCTGATGGGGATACAGGGTTTCTTTTGACAGGCCTGGAACATGATCACTCTGACATTTCATCGGTTGGCAAATCATATTATCTTTCTCTGTATCTGAAAAACAATTGGTTGCTGAAAACTGTCTGAACTTAGCAGAGTCACCTAGCATATCCACAGTTCTTTGTGTCCTATCATGTAAAAATGACACTTCACGACTGTTACAGGGTAAAGTTGCACTGTTGGAAAGGCAGCCTAATGAGTCACTGAGGTCTCCTCCGTCCTTTACTGGAGTTTCCTGAACACCCAAACCGTGACTGCTCTCAGATGTAGCATTTTCACTTTCTGTGAATGAATTGCATATATATGCTTTTAAACCAGGCCTCTCCTTAGGACCTCGAAAGATTGTATGTGTGGATCCTGATTCAGAAAGCCCAGGGGAACAACTAGGTGAGGGTTTATTTCCAAGGGTTTCCAGAAAAGGGTATACACCTGAATGCAGAAGTGACTGAGAGCCAGTGTCACTGGGCAGGTCTTTCTTCTTGTGCAAATCAAAGCCTTCTTCAACTTCATATGGAACAAATTCAGTAGAAACATTCTTTGGCAAAATGTCTAGGTGTCCGCAACTTCTATCCCCAAACTGAAAGTCTGAATGTGACCCCTTGAAACCCATATGCTGTATGTCTCCATGCTCTGAATCCTCTAACCGCCTCTGTAAATTACAAGCAGCCCTCCTCTTAGGAACTTGTTCACACATACTTCTGGGGATGCTTTTTACACAGTTTGATTTGGTTTCAAAATGTTGTATATTCTGATTCATATCATTTCTTTTTGATTTTTCAACTCCAATCAGCATCTCTGAAGTCACAGGTAGTGTTACTATGTGCAAGAGAACACAAAATTAGAGGAACATAAATTAGGAGAAAATTAACATTTAAAGATAAGAATAAATTATGTATTTATGTATTCTCAAAGAACGCCAATGTATTTTAATCACTCAAAAAAAAATCAATGCTAGACACATAAAAATATTCCTTTACATATGTCTAATTTTGTTGCTGAAGTCTAATGTATTATTATTGCTATCCACCTGATCAATCATTTTCTGAAAGAGATGTTATAGCTCTCCAAAAGCCAACTGCAATATTCACAATTTTGCTGATTCTGAGGGTCAGTATGGAGTTTCTAATAAAGAAAATCTGTTGGAAGAACCCCACCCACCTAGCACCTATACCCACCTCCTACACACAACCTAACTTAAATACAGTTTCTGATTTAATTGGCTAGGATACTAAATCAGATCAAAGGCAAAACAGCCACACAGTATTGAATTAGAAGCATCATGTCTCAGAAATGGTATATCTTGGTCTAGAGTCCATGAAAAAGGGGACGTTCTACCAGGGATATTACCTGTACATTGCCCCCGCTCTAGAAAATGTCTTTCTTTATCGTATGCCACTGACTATTCCTAAAGTTCTCATCACCATTCCAAAATTTACACAAATAATCTTTGTGCTCCTACATGAGGGATGTCTCATGTATTCCTGAACAATCTCTAAGTTTTCTAGAAGTTCAAATACTCCATTTCCCCACAGATAATGCTACACATGTCCCAGTATGATTGGGAATTTACCATTTTTTTTCCAGGTATTTCTATCAGCTCTTACTTTTTACACTCTAAAACTATTTATACACAAAAAGAAACAATTTATAGTTTCTTGGGAGACCATTCCATTATTATCATGAACTATATATCATCTATGTCCCTTTAAATGCTCTCATTTACCTAATATTATAGTTACTTTTATAATTCATCAATATTAGCACCACATTTGCTAAGTATATCACTCTCTACCCTGGTATTTGAATTTTAGATGTTCTTCTTGTTAAAATAGCAAATGTCCATAATTTAGAAAATTGCATTTGAAAGTTATGACCTTTTAATAAATGAGTCTAACCTATTCATATTTAGTGTGATTGTTGATATTTCAACWTTATCTTCTACATTTTTGTTGTTGTTGTTAACCATTCTCTATTTTTGATTTTGTTAGAAATTTTTCTTCTAAGGTTTTCTTTTTTCTACTAGTTAGAAAGTTATATATTCTCTTTCTTATTGGTTACCCTTAAGTTTTAGCACGTATTCCTAAACCTATATTTTTCTTGTAATTATAAAGCTATCAATACCCACATCTTCTCCTTGAACATAATGAAAGTTTTAGCATATTTTAGTTTCCTCTACCATGTTCTCCAAGAAGACTATAATTTCTAACGTTCTTAGGTTCTGTTATTTATTCTATCAATTCCATTGCTTTATTATAAGTTCTAATGGTTTTGTTTTGATGTTAGTTTGGTGTCTTTTTTCACAGTGATAGCTTTCTGTAAATGCATGGTGATTCTTGGTTATAGGTAATTTTTTAGATGTCCTGAATACTGTTATCTGTTTATGCTGCCTGCCTTAAATGAACTGGGGAGGGGAAGGGAGAATGAGCAGCAGGACAGAAAGATCTAATAGTTCTGGGCTCCTAATTCTTCCTTCACATGTGGCCAGCCACCTGGAACACTTCCCTGCTCCCAGACTTTTTCTTCCTGTTGCTATTGCCCAGCCCAATCAAGAGTGGGAAGGGAATGAAGAAATAGAGTGACTTCACCTGGTTGCCACTGCTCTAGAACACCCAACAAATTATCCCACAGACATCCCGTATACTTTCATATGTGGCACAATTTTGATATTACTCCGACTCAAGGCTGTCATCTTCTGGAAGTTTTGAATTACAGTTTTCCATTTTCAATTGTATACAGTCTTCTTCCTTTCAGGCTTTCTTTTTTTCTTTTTTTTTAATACCGGGGATTGAACTGAGGAGTGCCTAACCACTAAGCCACATCCCCAGCACTTTTAAATATTTTATTTAGAGATGGGGTCTCACTGAGTTGTTTGGGCCCTTGCTGAGTTGCTAGGCTGGCTTTGAACTCATGATCCTCCCGAGCTGCTGTGATTATAGGCATGTGCCACTGCGTCTGGCTTCTTTCGGGATTTCTTATAGCTTCTGATTTACCCATTAACATCTTTTGGAACCCAGATGTGATTTCATATTTTTCTTATTCTTTATTTGTTGTTTAAAACTTTTCCTATCATTTTTAGGGATGAAAGCAATGACGGAAAGCTACAAAAACAGCGAGCTGGTAGGCACACTTAGTCTATCTACTTGAACCAGAAATTCTACGCTCTTTCTTGGTAAGTTTCTAGTTTAAGTAATTTCCCTGCAACTTTATAAACTCTATTCCTTACACTTTGCTCTTTTCCATACTGAGAATATTCAAAATCCAAAAAGAAGAGAGAGAAAAACCACTCAAGTGACTTCTTTAGACATACCTGCCTGTGCAGTTTTGCACTGGGATCTATTAGAAGTAGGAGTTTCTAGCAATTTTGCCATTGTAGCAAGTTTGCTAGCAGCATTCATAATCTTTTTCTCAGCCCTGTGGGGAATTCCAAAATACAAAATTAAAATAGTTGTGAACTTCCTGAGCCCCAGGATTTGTTTTCCTATTAACTCTGCCAACATTTAGGGTAGCACAGCCATAAGCCTCTCTTAATCCCTGACAGCTGATCATATTAAAAAAGCTAATTTTGTGGTTAAGGAAAATGTTTAGAAAATAACAATATGCTGTCCTGGTGCTCTTAGGACACACTGTTTGTACTGAACTTACCCTTCTTCTTTACCATTATCCTGCAAAATCTGTTGGAGGCAAATTAAGTAATATTTGCGCATCTTCCGGGCAGTTTCCTGACGTTCTCGCAACACCTCTGCCTTTACCATTTCTGCTGCTCTTTCCTTACTTTCCTGAATGTAACGAAGCATGTCACCTATAGGGGAGAGAACACCCACAGGAGGTATAAGAACTTTTTCAGAAACATGGGAGGCAGACGTCAGACTATTCTTCTGGGAGATAAGGTGACTGGAGCTATGGTTTAAACATTACGCCAGACCTGCCCTGAATCCAGCCAAAGACCACTCAGTGACCCCCAAAGAAGCCACAGGGGCAGCTGGATTGGTCAACTGAGCCCCACCTAAAATCCTGACCCTCTAGTATGTCATAAAGTAGTTGCTGTTAAGCCAAATAAATTTATACTTTCTGTAATCATTAAAATGAGGTATTTCAGATCACCATTTTGGTAGACTCAAGAGAATCGGTTGGTTCTTCTGGAATGAGGATAGCTATATATGCTAAGGAAATACAGAGTATTTCATCATATTCTAAATACTTGGGCAAAAAAATAAAATAGGAGGCAGAGAAACTTAAGCATTTAAAAGAAAAAGAAATGGAAAAGGTGAACAGAAAGGAAGAGAAAAACTGAAAAACAAAAGAAAAGGACACAGTGTGAGCTGTGAAGATTCATATTCTTCTCTTGGGCTAAGAAAATCTATGTTTCATTTACTTTCAGCAGCATTTATTGAGCATCTAACTAAATACATTACAATCTATGAAAGATTTATACAAAATGCTACTGTAGAGAGTGATGAGACAGTTATCTTCTGAAGTTTGCATAAAATCATTAATCCACAGTTTTTAAATTTTCTTTTCATCTTTAACTTTTTACAAAAATAAATTCAGAACTACATCTTACATCTAGAATTTCACCATCTTTATTATATTAGGGATACCAATTTATATAAGAATTGCCCTATTAATGTCCGTTAGCATCTGAAATTAATCCTATGTAATAATGCCACATCTACTTTTCATTATTTGAAATAGGAAAAATTAAAATGAAGTACATGCCAACATAAAACCTCCAATCATCCTTTCTAAAATGTAAGATAATTTGTATGTGTGTATTATGTCATAGTTACATTTTAGAAAGGATGATTGGAGGTTTTATGTTGGCATGTACTTCATTTAATTTTAGGAGGCAAATATACATTTTCCTATAAAAACACTGGCTATTATATTGAAACATACATCCATCCTCTGCAATTTTGTAATTAAAAAGCAGGAAGTATTTTATACTGTGAAAACATACCAGGGGAATGCTCTTCAGAGTGGCTGTCACTACCTGGTTCTGAGAAATTCTTGAGATCCAAGTTTACAAGTGTTAGATATGATAATGAGAAAAAACAGAACAGCTGCTAACTGGATTCATTTCCATAGTCCCTAAAAATTTATGGTAGGAAGCAATAATTGCTAATATGTAATAATTACTAAATTTCATGTGGTAAGGTATTATATTTTTAGTTTAGTACTAATGTCTAGATAGCAACAATTTTAAAGAATCCAGGATAATCGACAATATAAAAATAACTCTACTTTCATGTCATTTCCAAAAGATATTTGGGCAAAATGATCCATTACTACAAAATTTTGAAATGGTATCAATGATCTTTTCTAAGATTGAAGAAAAAGCCAGTTTGAAAAATACCCTCAAAGTACTAATGCGCATAAATTCTGAGTTTACATTTCATAGCAATAAAAAATGTTCAAACCATCCTAAAAATCTTGGGAATCTCTTTAGGGACTTACGCTTAATCTTTTTTACAGCTTTAATATACTGCCCCCGAAGTTCTTCCAAGGCCTGCCTATTGCTTGGCAGACATGCATTTTCAATGGCCCCTTCTGACAGTGACCTAAAGACAATCCAAGATGGCAAAAGCAGAGATTATAATGAAAAAATTGACTTTTAAAATATACATATATGTATTAATATGTTCTAAATAAAAATATAGTCTAATAAAATAAACTGAGAATTTCATACACTTGAAACATGGTGGTATAATGCCTAGAATCTCAGTAGCGCCAGAGGTTGAGGCAGGAGGATTGTGAGTTCAACGCCAGACTCAGTAACTTAGTGAGGCCCTAAGCAACTTAGTGAGACCCTGTCTTTAAGTAAAATTGAAAAAAAAAAAAATAGGGCTGGAGATGTTGGGGATGTGGTTAAGTGTCCCTGAGTTCAATCCCCAATACCAAAAAAAAAAAAAAAAAAAATTCCACTAAAGCAAGAGTAAAATGGAGACAACTTATATTATGGTTGCTTAAATAAATAATGGTAAATCCACATGATGAAAATATATGAAAGCTATTAAAAAGCACATTGTAGGAACATATCTAATAACTCGGGGGAATGTTTTTCTCATAAGACTAAGTTAACAAAGGGTTACAATCACTCCAATTTTTAAGAAGCACATTGTGCATAGGGTGTGTGTAAAAGAAGCTGAAATGATATAAAACAGGGTTAGCAGAGGGTATCTTCTGGGGTTAGGGTTTGGGAAATTTTCCCTTTTTTTTATACTTCTTTATAGGAATAGAACAATATCAGAGATATTTCTAAAAATTAGACTTAGAAATAAAACAGTCTTTTAAGATAGTAAAAGTCTACCTTGGTGGTGTTCTACAAAGTGTTTGCAGTTCTTCCAATTTATTCTTCATGTCATTGTTTTCTTCTATCAATTCTTCAACAACTTTATTATTCTCTTCTATAAAAAAAAGTTTATATTAGGTTAGGTCTTTTCCAGTCTTCCTTTCCACACGTTCCCAACAAAAAAGTCTCTATTTTGCATCATTTCCAATTGCTCTCCTGGGTCTTTCATTCCCTTATAAGCCTAGTCTGAACAATTCCTTGTTACATTTTCTCTTTACTTAATGTCTGTAACCCATCTTCATCTTGCTTTGAGCTACACACTGTCCTGGAGTGTATAAAACACATGCATAAGTTTTGTTTTCCAGCCAGACTGAAGATCTGTAGATACCTATTAGGTTTAATTACATGTTTCCTTAAATCTAGTATATGGTCCATGCTCCTATAGATGATCATTGAAAAAGCACCTCAATACAAAATATAGAGAAAATTAATCTTAAGTAGCTGTCATTTTCAGAAATAATGTAAGATTTTTATTCTTTGACTTTTAAAAAGAATATGAGAAAACTGGAGTCCATATAGTATAAAAGAAAAAAAAAGCATGAATTTTAGAGTCAGAGAGACAAACTTTTGACACTACCCCAGTTTATTACCTACTAGATGAATCTAGACATATTAATCTGTCTGAATCTAAGTTTTTTTCACATGTAAAATGAAGACAGTTTTACATGCCTTACAGATTATGACAGAAATAAAAAAAAAAAAACCCAATGCCTTAAACAAGGCCTGGCAATACCAAGGTTCAGTAAAATGTGAACATGGTACTTCACATTTCCTGCTATGCCAGCCCCTCAACACACCTCATGAGCTAGGGAATGCAATTATCCTATAACCCCTGGTGGTTGATATAACATATATTTTTAAACCACTTTTTAACAAATGCTACCAAGAAAATGAAAAAAAAAGAATTAAGAAACAAAAAAGAAGGAGGCACAATAGCAAAGATATTATCACCTAATAGATATATATTGAGGAAAAAAATTCAAATAAAACTATTAAATGACTTAAAATTCTGGCCCTGACCTTTTTATCAGTCCACTGTTTTAAAGAAAGTAGCAACTTTCTTGGATCATTTCTAAGTCTTGGAATTATGGAAGATAGGATAGCAGCTTTAAAAATCGCTATGCAAAACAACTATGACCATAATCTACAGTGTTAAATATTACTTGTAAATAATAATCATATTCAGTGGTCATTCTATTATGTAAAAATATTTTGATTTTCATTAAATTTTGCAAGAGCTATATTTTATCTATATCTTATAGTTGAGCTGGACAAATATATCTCATTTACTCTACTGGTCTCTATTAAGGAGTAAAGTTAATCAAAAGGAAAGTGTAGCTGTTAAAGCTTTTTATCTCAAAATTTGTAAGACCCTTTCCGGCCTTATAGTACTTACTAGCTATCTCTAACAGACTTGGTTAGCAGTAGGTGGTGGCAGGTGGCTTCATTAGTCAGCAATATTTACCCAAGTATGTGCTACACTGCTGGAAATACTATGCCAAGTGCTGGTAGATGGCGTACATCATGTCCACAAGGATGAATAAGACAAGACACATATTCCTTACCCTCAGGGAAGAGTCTGACTAGGTAACTGAATGATTATAGATAGTAACTTGGCATAGTACTTCCAGGACTTGATTCTTGTTGCTCAAAAGTCTAAACCTCCAAGGAGTACAGACAATAAATAATTTCAAAGATGCTGAATGTTATAAAAAGCACAGGAGCTTCAAAGAGTATGTAGTAGGAGGACCTAACCAGGTATGTGGCAGTCAGGAAAACCGCCCTGAAGAAGTAATGTATAAGGAGAAAAATGGGTGGGAGTTAGCCAGGCAATGATACCAGGAAGTTTGGATAGAGGAAGAAGACAAGAGGCTCATCGATGAGACACTGAAATCCATACTATGCCTGAGAATAAGAGGACCGTGGAGACAAGGCTGAGGGCTGGCAGGGCTAAATCATGAAGACCTTTTTAAACCAGGCTAAATTAAGTGCTTGTATTTCATACTAAAGGCCTGAATAAGCCACTGAAGAGCTCTTAACAAAAGAGTGTCATGAACCAATTCCTTTTGTAAAAGGTTGTTATTGCTGCCCTACGGGAATGGATTGGTGCAAAAACTGGAAGAAGATAGTTATAGGTGATTTCCATTGTCCAGACAAAAGAGAGAAAATAAATGATCTAATTTGCCAAGTCTTTTTGGACAACACAATTATCTGAGACCCTGGTATTAGGTTTTTGATTCATTCGAACAGTTGTTGTATGGTAGATGGCGTACATCGTGTCCACAAGGATGAATAAGACAAGAGACATAGCCCTTACCCTCAGGGAGGAGTCTGACTAGGTAACCGAATGATTATAGATAGTAACCAAATGATTAAAATACAGAATGGTAATGGAAACAGTGGAGGAAGAGCCAAGTGCTACAGGGCCGCCCAAGAGTGGCTGACTTAACCCGATGGAAAAATCAAGGAGGGCTTTGCAAATGAGGCATCTACTGAGTTGAATTCTAAAGCATGAGGCAGACCAAAAGGGAAATAGTATGGTAAATATAAGACAGAGACAACATCATATGCAAGATCTAGCAGAAAGAGAAAATACAATCAGTTCAGAAATCAGAAACATTTCGAATGCAGAGTTCAGAGCACGGGTTATAGGTGAATAAGAGGGTGCAGGGGTTTAGGCCCAACAGCTTCCTTTTTTTCAGAAGAGCAGTGGGAAATGGCCAAAGATATCCCTTTCATATCCTGATAGCACTGTGAGGCATGGGATGGATGGAGGCTAGCAGACCCCAGGCCTTTGCTATGCCTTCCCCGCTCCTAGAACACTGCTCTCAGTGGCAAACACCTCCATTTTCTAAGGCTTAGTGAAGGCTTCCAGTGCCTAGAATACTGCTTGACACACATTGAGCTCTCAATGTCTGTTCAGTCAAGAAAGGAAGAAAGGAATAGGAAGCTTTTAATCAAAGCTGAAATTTTCCTCCTTCAAGTTTATTAATAATTTGATTAGTAAAAATGAGGTCCAAATTGGTTTATATTAATCCCCAAAGAGAACCAGCACATACATTCATAAAAGCGTAACATCTGAACATTTCGACAAAGATCAAAGAGTTTTTATACTCGTGGAAGTGCAACTTTGGGTGCTAACCTCCAATTTTTTCCACTACAGCTTTGTGCTTTCTTTCTAAATGCTGAAGATGCCTACAGCATTTCTCCAGTTTTCTTTTCAGATCTTGACCTTCCTGCTTTGCCTTTTCAAGTTCTTGGAAGCAGTGTCCACAGCATAAATCTTTAATTTCAAGTGTCTTTTTCTTATCTGCAAAAATTAAATGACAGAAAACTTTTATGTAAGTTAACTAAGGACTCTACACACACGCGCGTGCGCACACATACATACACACACACCCACAGAAAGTAAACTAGATGACATGACTCCTGTTGAAAGGCTATAGTATAATGAAAGAGCATGATGCTTAAGAAAGAGAAACTGGATTTAAGTCCTGTTCCACTACTTACTAGCTGTATGACTCAGAAAGCATATTACTTAAGTTCTCTGAGGCTTAGTTTTTTATTATGTAAAATTGTAATACCATCTACTTTAAAAACTTCTATGAAACCTAAGGCTCAGATCATGGTCTTGAATACCACAACACTAAAAGGAACCAGGGATCTTCAAGAAATTGCTGACTCCAGTACTGGGAGAGGGTATATACTAAACGAAATTGAAATATCTTGCCATGAAGAAAGTAAGATTGTACTAAAAAAAMAATGTAGACATGTTGCAAGGATACAGGAGCCAGTTTGAAAGTGCTTCACTAGCTGAATCTGGGACAACTTGAGCACTAAATTAAATATACTAACGAATTATAAAGCATGGGAAAAAACAGGAATTTGTGAATCAGATCAATAATCCTCTGAGTAGATGGATGGGTAGGTTGATACATATGTAGGTAGATGGATAATAGGCAAATGAAACAGGAGGATTCTTAACTATAACACGACGAGTGCCAACTGGTAAAAATGGAAGAAGGCCTGGAGTTGGAAAATTATTATTTTTTAACCAGCATGGGAAAGAATGGATCYGGCAAGAATCATCAATAATTGCCAAATCTAAGAGGAAGTTTTATGAGGATATTTGCATGGTCTTAAAAGTGTCTCCTCACAGATTTTTACTAGTTGCAAGGAGGGGAAACCCCAATAAGTATATAATGAAGAAATTGGACAACCTTTAACCAGGTGACCAAACAAACCTCACCAATAAGACAAATGTGCCTCCAAATGTGAAGACATATCACCCATGCAGCGTTCCAGCCCAGAAAGCATGGTATGAATCTAATTATGAAGAAACACCAGATAAACCCCAAACAAGAGAAGTTTTGATAAACACGGGTCATGGGAATAGAGGATACTTCTCTCAAGAATGCTAAGAAAGACAAAGAAAGGCTGGAGAAATATTCTACCTTAGAGGCTAAAACCCATGACAACTAAATGTAATAATACCTGGCATTAGACAGATTCCTGTAGGGGAGGGGATAATATTATACAAGACATTATCATGTCAACTCACAAAATTACAATACAAGCAACAGATTGATACTTTTTTCTAATGTTAAATTAACTGTTAGGTTATGCAAGAAAATACTTTATTCTTGAAAAATTCAGGCTGAGATATTTAAACATGAAGGTCACAATGCATACATCTTACCCTCAAATGGTTCAGGAAAAAATGAAATTCACATATACATACACACCAAAAAGCATAAAAAGGGTAAAACATTGTCAACACATTTCTCTCTAGTTAAAGGATACACAAGAGTTGTAAACAACTGCTTTTATTTTTGCTACTTTTTAAAAAGTTTGAAATTGTCTCCATATTTTAAAAAAATGATTAAAAATTACTGGGAGACATAAATGTGTAAATTGTTGGCATACTGGCATATAGCAAGTATACAATAATAATAGCTATTGTCATAAATAATGTGTAGAATTCAGAAAATTAAAATAATATGAAAATGATACAGAAGGTAGATTATAACCATGAATAAGAAGTAATAAAGTAGAAACACAAATTAGGCACAGAGACCGACCAGTATCTAAAATGTTAATATAAAGTCACTGGTCCAGCAAAATTATTATTTGCTCTCTCCTCACTATTTAGTTTCACTTAAATGGAACCAATTATGTTCATGAGCATCAAAGGATCAATGAAGCATCACAATGGTACCATACACTGATATACATGCATATATATGTGTAAATATATATGCATGTATATCAGTGTATGGTATCATCTATCTATATATATATATATATACATATATATGCATGTATATCAGTGTATGTACACACACACACACACACACACACACACACACACATGAACAGAACTTCCCAAAGCCAAATATCATTTAAAATGTGTTTCTACTTGGGCTGGGGATGTGGCTCAAGCGGTAGCGCGCTCGCCTGGCATGCGTGCGGCCCGGGTTAGATCCTCAGCACCACATACATATAAAGATGATGTGTCCGCCGAAAACTAAAAAATAAATATTAAAAAATTCTCTCTCTCTCTCTCTCTCAAAAAAAAAAAAAAGAAAAATTGTTTCTACTCATTTCACAGTAATATATAACCTTCAGGCTATTCCAAATATGATACAACATGAAAAGTAAGAAGCAAAATACAAATTAAGGTAGCATTATTATCAACCTAACTGGAAATAAGAACCCAGAAGCACAGGAAAAGCACACACACAGATAGATGTATGTAGATATAGATATAGACATATAGATACATATTTTTCCTGTGGTTGTTGGTTTTGTTTGTTTCAGCACGGGAAATTGAACCCAGGACACTCTATGACTGAGCCAGATCCCAACTCTTTTTTAATTTTTTTTTTTTTTTAATTTGAAACAGGTCTTGCTATGTTGCAAAGGTTGACCTCAAACTTGCCATCCTTCTGCCTCATGCTTCTGAGTAGCTGGAATTACAAGCATGTATTACCATCCCCAGCTCTGATTTTAAATTTTTCACTTAAGAAAAATTTAATGTAAAATTAGAAACCAAGCAAATTCCCATTAATAAAAGAACACATATTCATACAACAGAAAACTCTATACAATGATGAAAATGAATGAACTACAGCTATACGCAGACGAATCAGCAGCATGATATTAAATAGGAACACAGCAAGTTACGAAAAATATGAGTATTCAACCATCTTTATAACGTTGAGACATAAAATAAAGTAATATTCTTGAGAACATATATATTTGGTCAAAACAAAGAAAAGTAGGAAATCATTTTTTAAAAATGGAATACTTGTTACCTCAGTTTGAGGGAATCTGTGGGGCGGAACTGTGGGTTACCAGCACTGGTGATATTCTATTTCTTAAACTTAACACTGAGTTCCTGGTTGTTAGTTCCTGGTTGTTGTTTTTCATGACTTACCTCTGCATTACATATATTCTTTGCATTACTAAGTATTTCATAATTAATGTTTAAATTACTTTTTAATAAAAATAATAGGATATTAAGAGACTGTAACAAAACCGTCAGTAGTAGTACTCTCTGATTCTAGGATTGTAAAGGACTTTATCTTTTAATATATTTCAGACTTAATCCCTTCTTTGTTTTTTCTTTATTTTCCCCTCCCTCCCTTCCTCCTTTTCTTCCTTTTTTTGGTGCTGGGGATCAAACCCAGGGACCTGCATATATTAGGCAAGCACCCTACCACTGAGTTATATCCTTAACCCCTGGATCTAATCCTTTCTAATAAATTTATTATTGTGTTTGTTTTTAAGGGAAACAGTCTAAAGAAAGAAAAAGAAACCATTTTATAGTATGATTTATCTTCAGCCAAATCTAATTTCTTTCATAGGACTTATTTCTTTCATAGAACTTCCCAAAGCCAAATATTATTTAAAATTTGTTTCTACAAATTTTATTGTTAAAATATAACCTTCAGGCTATTCTAAATATGGTATTGCATGAAAAGTAAGAAGCAAAATACAAATTAAGGTAGCATTACTATCAACCTAACTGGCAATAAGAACCCATAAGCACAGGAAAAGGGTCTGTGAACAATAAAAAAACTGTCAATTGAACTCTTAGGACAGGCAGAGATTAATCTACAATTATGGTAAATATGCCTACTGAGTTACAAATGTGGAAACTAAGGTAAATAACTTAGTATGTGTGATTTGTCCTGGAAATTGCTAGTTCTTTTCCAGGTTACATGGAAACAAAAAACAGGAAGAAGAAAGGCAGGTATGTTTATGGGGAGGGCAGGAGCAGGCTGCAAGCGATCAATATGATAAAAAGGATGAAAGTTTATGAAGATTTACCAATTTCTAGCTCAAAAATTTCAGTAAATAGGCAATATAAACCCGATGTTCCTCAGTAAGCTCTGAATATAAGGTGCTGTGGTACTGTATAATCTTTCCCATAATGACAAGTTGAAGCCACCAAATAAAAGTTAAACTATGAAGTCATCAAATATTCAAGGAATACAATCTCTACATTCTTCACTTCACCATGGTTGGAAAGAAAGAGATTAAAAATACTATCCCTGCCCTAAAAAAGCATACAAATAAGTTAGAAAATATCTAATGTATTTCACAAGTATTTTTTCCATTAACAAATGGTTGAAATAAACTTCAGTAATTTGAATGAAAAAAGTCTCCATTATCTGGCATATCTTATGTGAAACCCTTAAAGTCTCCATATCTTATATGAAATCCTTAATTTCTCAATAGTCAGGGAATAAAAACATGACTGCTCTATTAAAACTCTCATTATTTTCCTTATAATTACAATAGAATCACATAAATGGAGTAAAATCTAAAAAAAGACAGAAGAACAAGATCTAAGAACAAGATCTAAGAACAAGATCTAATTCAACTCTGTCCTCTAAATACAAAATAAAATCTAAGGAGAAAATAGAAATCAAGTCAGAGTAATTTATATATTTATTCACTCAGAAAACTGTTCACATCTTTGATTTCCTTTTATACTCAAGACGCCCCTCTGGAATAGTGATTACACATATTATAAAGACTCATGGAAACAAAATCCAATTACCAGCTTCTGCTTCTTGCAAGGGCAAAGGCTGTACTTGGTATCTGGAAGTGGGTGCAGGAAGGGCTGCTGGGACTCCAGGATCTCCTCTCCCACTACCCCCGCTGGCAGGATTCATAGAGATCTTGACCATATTTCTCTGAAAAAAATTATCTTCATAATGAATATCCTCCACAAAAAATTGATACAAATTTCTATATAAAATGCTAATAATAAAAATAAAAACATTGCCTGAAAACAATTGTGCTCTATCACTAATGTTTTTCTCACAGTGCTACATGTCACTAGGAGCCTCCTAGTAGGCTAGTCCAACAGAGGACTGATAGGCCTGCTATGACAGAGACAGGAAGTTTACCTTGTGCCTTTATTTATATATGAATTTAAGAGACTTTGAATAATTTATGTTATCAAACCACAGGACAGACAATATGAGGTCAGAATTATTCTTGAAAATACAGAACATTTTTATTGAAGCAGAGATCAAATTCATTAGCAACTACAATATCAACCTTTTGCCTCCTCCAAACTGAAAATAACAATAAACTTAATTTTAAACTTACTTAGTACTTAAATGTTCCTAAGTACTTTAATGTATGCTCTCATTAGATAAGAAATGCCAATCAAATTCTAGTTAAAGAGAAACTGAAGCTTAGCTATAAACTCACAGATTTTTAAGATAATATTTTCAGATTTGGGGCAATTATTAAATACCAAAGGAACAGAATACATGATGTTTTAAAGCAGTCTTGTTTAATTTCTTAAAACACATACTCTGCTTGATTCTAGAAGCCTTGATTTTAATTCTGAGAAACCCAATCACTAAATGTCAGGAAGCCCATGTATGGTGTCCCACAGAAGCAGCAGGCTCACAATCAAGAGGCTACGAGACTGAGGCCCAACAGAAATAAAAGCTGAACCAAAGGCTATTAATATCTCTAGTTTCCACTTAAAATTGGAGAAGAAAAGCCAAGATGACCAAAAAAGGTAGGAAAGCAATAACCTTTTTGGTCTTAATTTTAACTTGACTTCGAAAGTAAAAAAACAGAATATACATCCTTAAGGTTCCTGGAAAATTTTGCCCCAGTTGATATTTTTCTTTTATCCACTGTGAGCTGTTCCACTAATGTATTTTGATAAGGCATCCATTTTCTTAGAAACGACATTTTCCAGTCACTGCATCCTCTCCATTCTAGGAAACTTTTGATCACTTCTGCTGTTTTAATGAAGACTTCTTTAAATACACAGTTTTCCACTTTTAATTTCCATGAACAATTCTAAGTACAGATTTAACAAAATATAGTTATTCATATTGATGGCACCTGTATTGCAAATTTATAATCATTGATCTACCTCAACATCCTGAGCTGAGCTAGCTTAAAAATGGTAGAAGGTCAAGTATTACTTCTATGACAAATGCCAGACTGGGCACTTCAAAGTCAGCTTTTCCTCAGGAATGGAACCAGACCCACCAAACAAAAGCTAAATTCTTAGGCAGATTATTTGATCCTCCCTCCACAGAACTGTGAGCCACATTAAGTCACACAGATGATCTTAAACTGTGTATATAATTATCAGCCCTATAAAAATACCTCAGGTTGATTGGGTATGCGTGTGTGTACGTGTGTATGTGTGTGTGTATTCTACACCATTTGGAAAACACAGAAGATTCTCACTGAAGCAGGGGTCAAATTCATTACAACTACAATGCCAACAAAATAAAAATATAAATGGGAAAGGTGGTGTAGTTTCTTCATGTTTTAAGGCAGAGATTGTCTTTTCAGGAAAACAAACTTGAAAACATTGACACGATTTTCCCATCACTTCTCATCCTAAAACCTGCTATAGATAATGTTCTTATTTTTAATTATCTATTTTCTCCAAAGATTCTCAATAAAGGATTAAGTAGTGCTCATGGGACGCAATCTTATCCAATTGTTATATTGAAGGCAACTCCTCAAGAATGACATCTCTGTGAAATCAAGGAGAAAAACAGCAACTGGGGTGAACTGGGACAAAGTGGACTGATCTTCTAGGTCCCTTCTGGTTCTAAAGTTATGTACTCTTTCACATGCTGGGTATAGGAAGGCCCAGATATGTCATGCATATCTTGCACCCAAAGTTAAGGAACTAAGCCAGGGAATTCATTTGTTTTTCTCAGATTGAAAAACTATGGTATATATTTGCCCAAAGCAATAAACTAACTATCACCAAATTACTGGAACTCAGATTTTTTTCCTAGCTTATAACTCTTTCCTATAGATATTAATATAAAATTCTCAATTATGACCTTGAAAAATCTTCAGTCATGATATCCTGATGGATCTCAACTCATATGTCCGAACTCTTTCTCTCAAACAACCTGATAATATTGACATCTTTTCCACACGCTGAAACTTAGAACATTATTCTGGATCTTTCATGCATACCTAATTTCTTTAATCATAAGGAAGCAAGACTTTGTTTTTATCAGCTCTTGCACACAAACTTAAAGTCAGTCTCAGAGAATACTTATTCAGCTAAAAGAATACAATTAATCCATTTATATGCATATACCAGGTGAATCAATGAAACTGGATTTTAGGRTTTTGGGTGTGCGAGCCATACCTCTTATTTGCTTGTTTGTGTTCCAATACTTTTTGTATTTGATTGGTAGTTTTAACCTAAATAAGATATAAATTCATTGAGGGCAAGAAACAGGCTTCCAAGCTCTTCAGAAGCTTTTAAGAAACTACAGCTTGATATGATACATATTTCTTAAAGTGTTAGACCCAGAAAATGAAAAATAAGAACAAGAGTTATTCAGTTTCTGAAATCTCATCCTTTCAAAGGAAAGCATATTTTCTCTCTTAGGAAAAAGACATATAGAGGCTAAAAACTCTGCCTCACTTTGTGGTACTATGAAGCAATAAAGGTTCTTTGGCAACAAAATATAGATCCTTTGAATTTTCTACAAAAGGTGTTTTAAACCACTGATATAAATACAAGTCTCACATCTCCTAAAAAGGAAAAAAAACAAACAAACAAACAAACATATGCAACTTCTACAGTCATCCTTGACATCCAACAGCTCTTTTTACTCTGAGGAACATACCTTTTCCCCTTCTGGGCTGGTATTTTCTTTAAGCATGGAGACTGTATCTTGAAGTACTTTCTGTATGCAGGCTTTTAGTTTCTCAAAATATTGCACAGACACCCACTTTGAAGAACAAGTTGACAAGATTTCCAAAAGCTGCTTGTTCTCTGAACCACTGATATACTCCTTTTGGGTTTCCATTAAGAGAAGTTCGACCACAGTTAGGACGTCTTCCTCATACTGACGGATTTCTAGTTGGATCCGCCTGGCTTCCTGCACTGTCCACTCTCTACGGCTCTGTTCCAGGCAAGCTTGCAATTCTGTCTCCTTTTGGAGAAGCAGTTCAGTTTTTTGTTTCATAAAGTCTTCTTTAGCTGTTGCAAGCACTTCATTAATTTTATTTCGATGATCATCTAAAAACTGCCGGTAATCTTGCTCATTTTGTTCTTGAATTTTGTGGATTTCTTCTTGCTTTTCTCTGTTCCATTCGCTCCAGGCCTTAGCCAATTCCGCCCTGACAACCACAGGGACTTCCTCGTTCTTTAACTCCAGCTCCTTCTGGAGAGAATGAATCTTCTCTTCCAAGTTCTTGCCCAGCGTTATATTTTTCTTCATATTTTCAATCTCACTTTTCCACTTCTCTTTAGCTTCAGACACAGCCAATGCCAGCTGAAGAATATAACATGTTTAAAAAGTCTTTATGATTCTCCTTGTTAATAACAAAATTAAACTAAGCAACAATTTAGGTTAACCTCTCAAGAGATTTAAAATTTAAATTAAAGAAAAAAAAGCAAATTTGGATGAAATCTTGAGGATCTTTTCCTCCATTTTAGATCACTAGCTAGTTTATGGCTTATGTTATCTAAAAATATCAATTTCCAAATGAAGAACTAAAAGCTGAAACTGGAATATAAATTTATATATTCATTCTATATATTTATATTTATATAATTAACTGAAATTAATGTCAGAAAAGTATTTCACATTTATATATATATATATATATATATTTTTTTTTTTTGGTGGTCCAAATTGTAATCAAACCCTGAGGGCTGGGATTGTTGCTCAGTGGTTGAGCGCTCTACTAGCATGGGCGGGACCTGAGTTCAATTCTCAGTACCACATTAACAACAACAAAAAAAGGCATTGTGTTGTGTCCATCAAAAAAAAAAAAAAAAAGATTCTCTCTCTCTCTCTCTCTCTCAAAAAAAAAATAAATAAAAAAATAAACCCTGATATTTTTAATACTGATACAGTCTCAACTTTTATCTAAGCCCCCTAAAATTAAGCATCTTTTTTCTAAAGCAAAAGCAATCCCATAAGGAAACCTTACTATTAGGAATGTAACACACACCTGCATAATTATTTGTTAATAGGCAAGTCATGCAATTTTAGTGGATAAAACAGTTCATTAAATGACAACATCAAACAGGAAGTCATTTTTCATTAATCTCCTTTTCTTTTATAACAATATAAAGGAATAAGCAGATAAAACAGCAGGTCATAACAAAAAAGTAATAAGGAAATCAAAACCCTGGGCTCCAGCTCCAGTTCTGCACTGAATGCAGAGACAGTCTAGCAAGAGGGCTTGAAGGGGCAGACTTGTAGACAACTGCTGGCATTCATGGGTCACTATGACCACAGGCCCACTACTCAACTTCTCTGAGCCTCAGTATCATTGCCTGTAAAGTAGGGATGATTACAATACCAATTTGATAGCACTGTTTAGGATTAAATGATATAAGGAGATAATCCATTTAAAGTACTCAACCCAGAACCTGTAGATAACGAAGACTCAAATGTTACATAGCTTGAATTATTTTTGGATGTATGGCCTTGGAAAAACCACTTAATTTAATCTCTTTGGCAACTTACTATTTTCACCAAAAAAAAAAAAAAATGAGCAGTTGGAGAATAACCTTGAGTTCCTTTTACTTCTAATTCTCCCTCACTATATTCAAAGAAGTCAGGACATAACAGTGTCAAAAGAGAAAGAACTGAGTACCTCAAAGGCTGACCCAGTGGTGATTACTATAGGCAATACTTCTTACATGTACTTGGAATGACAGCATGAGTACTTAACTTACTAAATTCACTGTCTAAGGTAAGCTTACAAAGGAAGTTCTCATAAAATTCCTCACCACCACAAGAATAATTCAGTAGTTACTTGAAACCCATTTAAGTAGTTTTTTTAGGAAAAAAAAAAAAAGGATCATATTGCAATGGATGCTTGAGAATCATTACCAGGTGACTTGAATAGATATAGACCAATGGAATTTAAATGACCTGCCAAACTTTACCAAAAATGCATACCTTCTCAAGTGAAGTTCTATAAGGATAATTTGATAACATTAGTCAACTCAAATCAACCAGAATCACCTAAAGAGCTTTACAAAGTCTTGATGCCAGGCTATACACAATAGCAATCAAAACAGTCTGAGAATGGAAGTCAGGCAACAGGATTTTTTTAAGATCCTCAAGTGATTTCAATGTGCAGCAAAGTTTGGGAACCACTGAACTACCCTGACCACTTGTGAACTCTAGAAACTGATTTTTACATTGCCGCAGATCTGGATTCATGATAACTCCAATTTTAAAGGAATTCTCTGGTCAATGCTATGAACTGAGCCCTTTTTCTAGTTTCTTTGGTTGGAAAAAGGATGTACAACAAGTTAACATTATGTTTTGTGGCTAATACAATTATCTAGAATAGTGTTACAACCGAGTGTGGTCCACAGACTAGCAGTATCACAACACCCAAGAGCCTATAAGAGATGCAAATTCTCAGGACTCAGTCCAGACCTATCAATTCATTATCTCTAGCTGGAAAGAAAGCCCAGGAATCTGTACCTTAATAGACCCTGCAGATGAGTCTCACATTTGTTGAAGTTTCAGAAGCAACACACTGTCACTTCTACATTTCTGCACTCACATACATTCAGGCCTTCTGTTCTCTTAAGATATTTTGGCCTATTTTAATTTTTACATTCTACCTGACTTCTGAGCTCTGAGACAAATATCCTCACTATTATATTCTTTCCCCTTTCTCTCTCCTTCTTAAATTTTCTTTTGAAATGTTTCAGACACATGAGAAAGTATAGACAATGATATAACAAATACCCATGTACTACTACATAATGATTTTAATCTATGTTGAAATATTTCCTCAAATAATATGTGGTGTACAATGAGGAATACAGGCTATGAATCATTTACAACTTCTGCTATATTCCACATTATTCTCCAAAATGGCCATCAGAAGACTGCACATGCTTGAAACTGCAATCTATTAAATTCTGTGTATCATATAATTCAGAATATTCTGCGTGTTGTGTAATTCTGAAGAGAGGATTTATACATATGGCATAAAATGGCGCCTTAAATTTATTTTGGTTTTTATTTCCTTCATACTGACAGGTATGAATGTTCTTCCACTGAATTTTTTGCTGCTTGGACTATGGAGATTGCCGGGCTCATGTCGTTGGTGTATTTATCATTGAACTCTTGTTTTTCTTATGAATTTATATGAATTCTTTGTTACATATTAGATTAATGTTTCTCAGGCGTGGTTCATTTATTTTCCTTATTTTTATTCTCATCTTTATTTGACATTGCTATTTATTGCAAAAACAAAAATGTTTTAAACATTTGTACATATTTTAAACCTATTACTTTATCTTTACTGTCAGGTCCATTTGCCTCAAAATTGGGTGTTATTGGGATACAGATCTGAAATATTTAATTTTATTTTAATTTTTCTACACTTTCACTTAAAAGTGTTTAATTCCATCAACTTAGCATTTATTGTGAAGCATATAAACATTTTTCCACAGTTACCTGGCTATCATAAGATGATTTATTACGGAATAATTCCTCATTTTCTTATTTTGAAACAATTTATTATGCTTTAATTCATAGTTAGGTCTATCACTGAATCCTATATCGTACTGAATTTTAAAACAGTTCTATTTCTGTGACTCAACTGTCCAAGTTGTTTCTTTCCAATATAGTCTATTATATGTGAAAGCTGGACTGGGACTCCTTTTCCAAGACACTAAACAATTTTTTAGGCCTTTTGTTTTTCTAAATACATTTTAGAATTGTTGTGTCAAATTTCAGAATTATTTTTGGTTTGTTGGCATTTTGAGTAGAATTGGTTTAGACTAGTAAGTTAAGTTGAAGAGTACATATGGATCACATGGTAATAATATCTGGGTTTTCCTTTCAAGGAACATGACATCTTTGGAAAATTGGCCCCTTACCAAAGAGATTATGTTGTATGATGACTGACATGGCACAGAAAACCTTCACACACACAAGAGTATACTGTACAGTTAATAGTAAACAGATAACCACCTGTTCTCAATCTTTTCTAAAGATAGTATAAGACAGAATGGGAATTAATTTCTAAGTTAAGGTTATCTTTCTATGAGAGTTTTTAGATGCTAAAATACTTTCTCTTTCCCTACACAACTTGATGATGATAACAGACACCATATGCTAAGCCCCCTTAGTTAATGCTTAACATGCACTGTCATGAGTAGGAACAAATTCCCAGGACAGAGGCAAAAGAGGAAGACAGGGAGAGGTCTTCCGGAAGTTCCTCTCCAGGAGAGTGCTTACCCTTCTGGCCACAGAGATCTCTTGTTGTTCCTCCCACTTCTTCTGTTCTACTCTCATTAATGCTTTGTACTCTGCAAGCTCAGGCAGTTCTTCTAGCCATCGAAGGCGAGCATTTTGCACAGCTGTTTCTACCTGTAGGACATTACAAGACAAAGAGGCAAAGCAGGGTATAAAATTTCAGAAAGAGCTCACTTTCAAATAACAACTATAATTTCATGTGCGTTTGACACTGTGTCTCACTATAGCACAGGTACACTGACTTTAAGTACTTTACCTTATCCTAAATAGTAGATTCAGATCTATTTTTTCTAAACTTCCCATGCTGTCCCATGCAAATGCCACGATAGAAAGTGGGAATCTATGAGATGTTTGATGAATAATACTATCTTATAAAACTTTATGAGGTATCAATTGTTATTTCCTACAAACTTCTGTTTATCTTGGGGGAAAAAGAGGTATTCCAAAAGGCTGCTCGGTGCCAGCTGCTATCTCATCCCTACGCCCACATGCTCCTCCCACCTCATACATGCATGCACATGCACACACATATGTGTACCACACTATGTTTGAGAACCTTACACCTGAAAAATTTCCTGCTGTCAAGAATGAGTTTGTACAAAAGAATAGGGGCAATACCTCATTTTGTAGAAAAATTTAAGACGATGAATTATATGGCTGATCTGGTCATAAATCTGCCACCAGCTACAAGATCATTAATTAAATAATTTGTATTTATTCCTTTCTTTTAAAATGTATGCACATATATTTATAAATAGAAAAACAGAATTGATACTAGGCCATATTTCTTACTAACATACTAAATACAATTACAGGTAAACTCCCAGGAATTGAGAATATGGAGAAAAGATAAAGTTTTTATAAAAATTTATATTCCTTTAAAAGTTATTATGAACCATTTTCTTTATACAATATGCTAATGTTTTTCTTGCTTGTCTTCACAAGATTTAGAATTACATAAATACCAAAGAATTGTCTTTAAATACATTTCTATGTCTATGGAACATTTTCTTAACATACTGACCACTTCAGAAAATTATCTAATTAATTGAGGATATCCTTGATACCATTACATATATTTGTCTATGTTTCCAGATCTTATGAATGCCCTGTAAGCTCAATTCAAGCAAAATTTTAACTACTGAGTATGGGAGTGTGTGTATTTATATATTTGGGGGGGGCGTGGTTATTGGGGATTGAACTCAGTGACACATGGCCACTGAACCACATCCCCAACCCCTATTTTGTATTTTATTTATAGAGACAGGGTCTTATTGAGTTGCTTAGCACCTCGTTTTTGCTGAGACTGGCTTTGAACTCTCCATCCTCCTTTCTCAGCCTCCCCTACTGGGATTACAGGCATGTGCCACCGCACCCAGCTAAAAACCTGAATATATTTTTTAAAACCTTAGTTCAGGTATTATCTTTTTTGGAAGTTTACAATAATGTATCTTTTAGGAAATAAATATGTAAAAGATATATCAAGGTCTAGTAACCTCTTGAAGGCCAGACACCCTGTCAGGTGGTCTGTGAAGCCAAAACAATTTTCAAAATTATATTAAACACAATCTGCCTTTTCCAGTGCCATCTCTCATGTACAAAGAGCATAGTGTTGCTATGTTGATGGCAAAAATGCTCTGACAACGAATAGAGTTTGTGTTTGGGGTATTTCTTGTTTTTAAAAAATTTTCTCAAATTTATTTTGTTACATAGGCTATATCTATGATCCACACAAACAAAAGCTCTTTAGACCCCTCCATTTTTAAAAGTGTAAAGGAGTCCTGAGACCAACAAACTAAAGAAGCACTGTAATAGTTAAGATACATATAACAGGTAACTCTATTAACACAGACTATATTTTTCTCAGTATAATATTTCTTTGAAATCAAGTCATTTGCCCCAGTTAAAAGCTAGTTTCTGAGTGCTTCAAAGGAAGGACAATGGCACCACATTTTGGCAACTGATGAGAATTACAGACAAAATTCCATTTATGGGGCATGCCTGCAGACCCAAGTCACATTGAGTCTCAACACTAATATTGTTAAATATCTTATTCAAGTATACTTATATCTATAACTATTTTGTGGGAAATTTTCTATGAAATTAGATGTGAAAAATTCACAATTAAGTTGTGCTTCATTCAGATAGAAAACCACCATCTTTAATCTCAGGTGAAATCTCAGATCTTAGAGGAAAAAACATTTTGTAAAATGAAAGAAGATACAGAAAAATTGAGGGGTAAGAATTTTATGATAGAAATATAATGAAGAACACTTTAGGAAAAACATAACGGGTTTTCTATTCTAGAAATGCACAAAATTTTAAAAGCTATAAACAATTCAAAAGTTGCAGTAATAGGGAGCACCGATAATTTCTATAATAGTCATGCCTATTACCTGTTGGGCAATATTTTCACAGTATTTGACCTCCAATTCAATTTGGAGTTTCTTCAAAGCCCCCTTGATAGCTGCTTCCTTCTCTTGTTCTAAATCTCGCTGGAGCTTTTGCTTCTGCTTTTCTACCATGACCTCCATGTCTGCCTTGGAAATGACATCCAGGGTGGCTGCTTGGTCAGTTTGGCTTCCACAATCTGTGGTTTTCTTTTTCAGAGCTTTTACAGTTTGATCCAGCTTAGACTGCCACTCCTTTTCCAACTGTTGCATGAGTTTTTGTTTCATCTGTTTTCAGAAGAAATATCATATGAGAAGAAAAATGCTCAAATAAATGAAAATTAGAATAACTTCACAAAAAAGCAACCACACCTGTATTTGAAAGCCATCGAGACATTGTTATAGTAATTATCTGAGGTTTAGAAATTCAGTCAATGAAAATATACTCTCAAGTAAAACTTGAAAGTTATTCTTTGACCTTAACTATGTGAAAAAAATCACAGGGAAGATTTAATTATGCTGTGTGAGGTCAGACTAACTGGCGTTCAATATGCAACTTTCTGGAAGCTTTGATATTGACAGTATCATGTGGCACAATAAAAACAAAAACAAACAAAAGAAAAACTATAAATGTAGGTTTTGCCATCATGGATACCATGCTTCCACAAATCAGCACTGAGTAAATCTAATCAATTAATCTAAAAAATAGTTTACTAACTTGAACACACTGATATTTTATTTGTTATGAAGTTAAATTTTACTAAGTAGACTGCATTCAAGAGGAAGCCATTACTAGAAGAATGTCTTGATTTTTCTCCTTTCGACAATGTAGTGGGATGGATCTAAACACAATCCGTCTTAGGCCAACTGTGACGTTGCAAGATTTGCTTTTTCTTTTTTTCAGTTCCCACCTCCTGGGTATCCAAAGTTCTCAAACTGCTTACCTGGCTACCAGATTAGTAGAAATTAAAAAGAATTTTATGAATAGGAGAATCTAAGTTTAAATAAACCTGAAAAAAATTTTTTTTTCATTTCCAGGTAAGTTCTTAAGATAACAATTTGGTCATTAACTTTCTAGGAAACTATTAGCATTTCCTAAGCTCATTTGTAATATACACAATAGAGATAATAAATTTTGTACTTCTGAGCCTGTCCACTACTTCCTTCTTCTAATCCATTATAAGGATTATTTGTTAATCATACACACACACACACACACACACACACACACACGCACATACATACACATAGATATATATATTTATCTAGAGTTATCAGAATCACTTCACATATGAAATTAGATCATGGTTTTAATTTTTAGGAATCAAAGAAGTACCCAGGTAAACCCATTAAATCCTGAATTTGGCTGAAGGGTCAAGAGAGGTTAACTTTAAGAGGTAAAACTGTTGTGGTAAGCTGTTAAGAGCCCAACTCTGAAAGGTAGAACAGAGAATTATATATACACTTGCCAATTAAAAATTATGTCTATTTATAATTGTCTTCTATAATTAACACATTTTTAAAACATAGTGAGCAGAAAGAAATTTTAACCCACACCTCTTTCTGTTCCTTATCCCAGTGTGCTTTGGCTAACATCATTTCGCTTTCAACCTGCTGTTTACTACCAGTTTCTTGCTCTTTCAGCCACTTGGTTTTTTCCATGATAAGAGTTTCTTGGTACTTTTCTTCAAGTTCCAACTGCAGTTTGCTTACAAGTTCTTCTCTTTCCTCCAATAGCTGTCTCTTTAAACAAAATTCAAGTAAATATCTCTGAATAATACTTATGGTCTCTCCAAGTTAAAAAAAATAAAACTTGTTGTATTTTGCTTAGATAGCAAAAACAAAATCAAAATAAGCAAACAAAAACAACTCTCTAACCTCTGTAAAGGACTGGCTTAGTTTGGCCTGCAGTTGTATGAATAAACCTTAACATGTTATAGCAATGGCATTATGAATGGGAATGATGGTCATCTTAGTCTTGTCTACAAATTCATAGCCGAACTGATTTCTACACAACCCAGAGAGTTCTGTGTAAGGTTTTTTGCCCACTTTTTTTGAATAAGAAAAGCTAACACATGAAGAAAAGTCTGTGTGCTAATAAATGCTTCAGGACATAACTGAGCTTCTGCTTAACCTATGGATTGACTCAACAAGTGTTTCAGAAAACAGCACATGTGAAACATTAAAATATCCCCTTGGGCTCTTGGGGTTGCCTGATCCATGAATTCTATAGCCAAACTAAGTTCCCTACCTAAAGCTCAACTACAAGAAAATACTTGTGTCCTGCAGAGAAGGAGTACCCCAAAAGCTCCCTAGGCTGCTCCAGAGTAAGTTCTTGAACTGCGCATGGGAAAACATTTCCTAGGAAAACAAACTGGTATATCTTTGTCAATCTCCAAGAGACATGAAAAGATTAAATAAACTCTCCTAAATATAAAGGTGTTTCATTCTGATTGGCTTACAAAGACTACTAAAGGCTTATAGTTCCACAATTTAAAAAACTGAGCCGGGCGTGGTGGCACATATCTTTAATTCCAGTGGGTTGGGAGGCTAAGACAGGAGGATCTTGAGTTCACAGCCAGCCTCAACAAAAGCAAGGTGCTAAGCAACTCAGTGAGACCCTGTCCCTAAATAAAATACAAAATAAGGCTGGGGATGTGGCTCAATGGTTTTGTGACCTTGAATTCAATCCCCGGTATATATATATATATTTTTTTTTTTTAAAAAAAAAACCCTAAACAATTCCCAGAGAAGAAATAAATTAAACATCTAATGTTCCAAATACACTGGACCTGTAAGTAGGGAGTAGATGTGATTACAAAGTGATAGCACAAGGGAGTTTTTACGGTGGTATGGCTGTTCTGTAATCTGACAAATATATACAAGTGTTAAAAATCAATAAACTATTCATCCAATGAGGAAAAAAATAACTTCTTATACTGAATGATAATTTTAAATTTTAAAAAAATTAACTGCTAAGTTTGTTTCTTTGGAAAGAGCCAAACAGCAGCAGTATTAACCTTTCTTCCATGTACAAACATTCATAAGTCCAAATATCAGTCAGTAACAATTATTAATTGCAACTCACCTATTATATGAAATCCAATTTTATAGTCAAATTAATTCTTTTAAACATACCCAAACAAAAATTCCTGAAAAGCATGGCTTCGTTGAGAGAACTGCTCTTATGTTCTTGCCAATATATATATTTTTAAAAACAGATCTTCTCCATATTTTAATTTTAAACACATCACTGAAAGCTAAGTTCTTAATTTTTAGATAATATAAAATCCTTTTTAACTTTTTTACTGCCAACACTGACTAAAACAGCTCCATTTAATTTTCTACTAAATGCATACATGACCTTTTTTCATCATATTAATGTATTAAAAAATAATCAAAATATTAAATAAACTGAATACTTCACCTTCTCTTTACTATTTTTTTTTTAAAAGTCTGTGGTAGATATACCTTCCTCAAAACTCTCTGTATAGAACATTTATTCAAGCCTTTAAACACATGTCTTAATCCTGAGGCAGGGGGCTTTCAAACTGGTCAGTAGGCTGGTCCCAAGCATAAGGGAAAGTCAGATCTGTGTGTGAGGGAGAATCCCCACCAGGGTAGAGAAAAAACTCAGGCGACTGTTTCCTTGTGACTCTACTCCTGGACCAAGGGCAGATTGGAAGAACCAGAAATTAGGGCATCCATTGCACTCTTCCAACTCCCCTGAAAGAGGTCATACTAACACGCTGACCTTCCTCACCTTCCCTATCATGCGACTACATTCAAACTCCTGTCCTTCTTTCCAGAAGAATAAAATGATGATTAGCTACTGAGAGAGAAAGGGGCCTGAGGAAAAGGCCTCTGAAGGAATGAACACACTGTGCAGAGCTCATAGGAACAAAGAAAGTTGGGCAGTCAACACAAAATGAAAATAAGGAGCCATGGGTTTTAGATTTAAAGTGAGTCTGGTCCACACTTCTTTGCCTTCTAGAATAAATCTACAAGAAAACATTTCCTCCTTTGTATATGCCATTTTCTATAAAGGTTTTAATAACCATTTAAATTTTTACTATATTTCCTAAGTTATATTAGTATAGCCCCAAGTGAAGAGACTTCTAGGGACACTGTCCCCATTTGCATACCCCAGCCAAAAGTGTCAGTTTCCATGACAAACTGAGGCCTGAGAGACCAGGTGATGAAGAATCAGCATAAACTTTACCATACCTTCTGTTCCTGAGCTTGCTGCTCCTTTTCAGTGGTCTTCTTGAGAGTCGACTCTAGAGTATCCTTCTCTCTGCACACTTCTAGGTAACATTCCTGCACAGTAGTTATTTCCTTACTCAACTTATCGATGTCAGACCTTGGATACACAAAACCCGCAACTAAATGACCACAGAAAAATTAAAGGGCCGCATAACAAACAATTTTCCTTTAAATTATGGACTAGGAGAATGGTTGTCTCTATAGTTGCAGAGCAGCCGAAGTCTTATTCTCACCTGAGCTGAGATTGAGTTGCTTCATAAATCTCAAAGAGCTGCTGTTTCTCCAAAGCATGCTTGGCTAATAGGCTCTCCCGTATTTGGGCTTTCATGGCCTCATGGTGCTGGTGGTAGGTCCTTTCACACCTAGCAACAGAGAAGGGGATCTAAGGCAATGCTCGGCATTACTAGAAACACTAGAATGATTTCTAGAATCATTTCCTCCCCACCTCTTCCCTCTAATGCCAATTACAAGGATGGTCAGATTGCTTTTCTCCAACCAAAACCAGTAATAACTAATTTATAACCAATAATCTTATGAGAATCTTCAAAATTTTCTTTTTTTCATGTTTCTACAGAAAAATGACAAACTTGGATGTGAGAATGTCCCAGTCATTCAAACACAAAGTAATCTATATTGAGGACTTCTGTTTATAAAGAAATTAATTAAAATAATTGAGGGTGTGGTTTCCAAATCCCAAGTTATATATATTAAACACAAATACTAGCAGCATCCAACTCACATGTAAGTTATGTCCCAAAAGTCTGTTTCCAAGTTTATGATTTGGTATTTGGAAGACATATTTCCTCCCACAGATTTCTTCTTTATAAAAAATAGTTTCCCAGACTCGCTTTAACAATAAGCAAACAACAAAAACCCCACCTAAGCTATAATATTTCAGTGAGATGCAGTCTTAATGATGCTATAGAACCCATATTTCCACGTTTCTGTGGAAAATGTGTTCCAAATTCTAATTGAGAAGCCAGGGACTTATCTCTGCCAATTCAAGATCCCAAAAGGGAAACATTCATTTTATTCATCTTTGTGTGTTTGTGTGTGGGTGGGTGGGGTATCTTGGAGGAAGGGGGACCCAGAAGGCAGGCATCTGGCATCTACATACTTACCGCTCCACAGTTTCCTGTTTATCACGGTCAAAATCCTGTACCATTTGTCTCATTTGATTACATAAGTCTTGATTTGTATTTTTCAGTATTTCTTCAGCTTCTTTAAGTTCCTAGACAAGAAAAAAAAAATGAAGTATTTAGAGGAAACAAACATCATTTTCATCAATTAATCTATCTTCATCTTTTTAACATCCTCTGTGCTCAATTCTACCCTATAACATTAGCTGGTATAATCTCATTTTCATAATTCTAYAAAAGAAATGGCTCTATACCTTGGTAAGAGCATAGATTTATTTGATAAGTAGCTTTTTGATAGGAATAAAAGTTAATATTTTATATTTGTTTTGATATTAAATGAAAACATTTAACTGGAAGTACTGGCTAATTGATACTTAAAGTAAGTCATAAAATTCAATAATCTTTGGTAACCATCTAAATAAATAAGCAAGATTTTACTTTTCAGTCAAAGGTTGACTGAGAAGGAAAAAACACATGTATCAGTCATGCCATTAGATAGAAAGGAAACAGGAATTACACTAAACTTCCAAAGAAACCACTACCCAAAACYACTAGTAGAGGGAAACAACTGGATTCTATAACTGCCTACTGCTATACTTGAGTAATAACTCGTATTGCTTCTGTATTTTTTAAAAGTGTATTTATCTCTTTTATATTTAATAAGGTCATGAAAATTCTCATTAACTTATAGGACATTTTTAATTACCTGATTTTTTTGTTGTAAAACTTGAATTTCATTTTTAAGTTGCAGTACATCATCTCTAATAGTCATATCAGAAGTAGAAGAGTCAGGCCATAATTGATTAGTTGGCTTTTCTGAAGTATCTGTTTTGGTCTAAGTGTTAAAAAGAAATCAAAAGTATTTGTTTTGAAATAATTTTATATTAATAAAAAACCCTGCAAAACAGCATGCATAATTTCACACTTCCCCCACATATGACACAGTTATCAAAACCAGGAAATTAACACAGATGCAGTATCACCAACCAATCTGCAGACATCACACAAATGTCTCCAGTTTTCCTCTGGTGTCCTTTTTCTTGGTTCAAGATCAAATTCCATGATTCCACACTGCATTAAGTTATGTCTCAATAGTCTTCTCTAATCAATGAGAGTTCTTCAGTCTCTATCTTTCAAACCCATAACATTTTCTAGGAGAACTAATCAGTTATTTTGTAGGATTATCCTTCAATTTGGGTTTTTCTGATATTATTTCTTTACTAGATTCATGAATGCCAAAGAAATGATACATGCTTGTAGTAGCAGATAGCGGATAGCAATATGCCTCACTGTTGAAGACAGTGTCTTCTAGCCATTTCCATTGTAAATTTACCACCTTTTGGCTTGTAAAATAATAAATATCTTCTGAAAAGATTCTTTGAGACTAGGCAAATATCTTATTTCTCATCATACTCTATAAGCATTTACTCTATTTCTGTAAATATTTGTAACAGTATTAACTCATGTATGTTTTATTTAATAGGTACAATTTTAAAGCTTCATAATAAACTTTGACAACTTCCTTTTTAGAAAGATCACATAAATGATACCATTGGGTGATACATGAGTCCATCCAACTTTCATCTCCATTGCCAATGATTATCCTTAAATAACTGTTGTCCGATGGGAAAGGGGCATCTGACAATTGGTTTCCTTTGTATTTCTTGCATTGTCACCAGAGTGCAACCTCTTATATATAATTCATTTGTTTTTCCATCTTCCCACATTTGTCTGTTTAAATAACTTCGCATATTTTTCCTCTTCCTATCTGAATGTTTTCCGTATCTATTTCTTTACTGAGAGGGAATCACAACAATTTCTTAAATTCATCTACTATATCTACTATATTTGACTTGTTGGCATATTATATGCCTGACTGTGAGTTCTTTTCTCCAATGTTTAACAAATATCTATAACAACTTTTGTTCTGCTCCTGACAGGGGGGCAGGTATCTCTGCCCATGCAGACTTTGGACAGTCTTCCAATTCAGTGTAGAGCATAAGTCTTCATTCCTTCAGAGTTAAACAACTCAAGCTGACTTTTCCCTTTTCACCTGCCACCTTTCCCAGAAGACATTTCTACAACCCCAGTCAGAATAAGGGCTAAGAATATCTACTCTTTTTAGCTTCTGTCCAAGTCCAAATGCAGGGAATGAGGTGGGCATGAAACCTAAAGATGTTATTTACTCCCTAGAATGGCCTTCTGTTTTTAAAAGACGTGGCCTCTATTTTTTATGATACTCATTTGTGCTTCTTCCAAACTGGAGAGTTTTTATTACTGGGAATAAAAGTCACATTATACTGATACACTGGAATTCGCTTTTCAGGGCTAGATTTTATACTTGGTTTTGATGAATCATCACACTGCAATCACACAGGGACTAGGTACTTGGACTTATCAGCACAGTACCTTTAAAAAGATCTTTGGGGGCTGGGGTTGTGGCTCAGTGGTAGTGAGCTTGCCTAGCACATGAGAGGCCCTGGGTTTGATCCTCAGCATCACATAAAAATAAATAAATAAGATAAAGGTATTGTTTCCAAGTATAACTAAATTTTTTTTAAAAAAAATATCTTTAAAGTGAAAAGATTACTTGAATGTCACAATAAAATTTCTTCTCAAAAGTAGAATACTGAACACACTATTTTCAAGAAAACAAGAAATTTAATACACTAACGTATGTCTAAACAGATTCTAGATAGAAACCTTCTGAGTTGGCTACCGAACACTGCCTCTCCAATACTTTTGGAATCAGAGTTTAGCTTCAACCACAACTTGAGGTATGGTAAAACTGTTCATTGAGAATCAGACACAAAAAGTTCTATGTTCACAAAAAAATTCAGTGTAGATATGGCTGCTAATAAGCCAGTCTGGTTTACCTAAGGCCTTTACCATACTCTAACCACAATCTACCTTTACTGGCCTCGGTTGGACAATTGGAGTGAATTGCCTAATATTTGATCTGCTCCCCATCACTGCCCAGTGCTATGTATGGGCAGTCTCCCAATTCCATCATATATTATCCTGGAAATGTCATTGTTATGGTTTGGATGTGAGGTATCCCCCAAGAGCTCACATGTGAGACGATGCAAGAAGGTTCAGAGGAGAAATGATTGGGTTCTAAGAGTCTGAACCCAGTCAGTGATTTAATGCCCTGATAGGAATTAAATGAGTGGTAACTGAAGTGGCAAGATATAGCTGAACGAGGCAGGAATTGGTGTGTGGCTTTGGGTATATATTTGAATCTGCAGAGTGGAGATCTCTTTCTCTCTCTGCTTCCTGATCACCATGTGAGCTGCTTCCCTCTGCCACACTCTTCTGCCAGGATGTTCTGTCTTACCTTGAGCCCTGAGGAATGGAGCCGGCCTTCTATGGACCAAACCTCTAAAACCTTGAGCCCTCTAATAAACTTTTCTTCCTCTACAATTGTTTTGGTTGGGTTCTTTTAGTCATGGTGGCAAAAAAAAAAAAAAAAAAAAAAAAAAAAGCTGACTAAAATAGTCATAAAGCAGTATTACTGGGGTTTTGTACAGAACAATTTTATTATTATAGATAAGATTCCTGGGTGAAAATTCAGCTTTAAATAAACTACTGCTATGAAGTCATATAAAATGAAAACAAAAAAATACAACACTCCATAATGACTTCAAATTATTCTATATGATTATAAATGAACATAAAAATATACTATAAAGTATGTATAAAGCAACAAATATCCATATCATTCAAGTGTTCATAAAAGAAACATGCCAAATAATCCATAAATAGTTTTGCTGGCCCTTTTGAAACTTAGAATGTATACTTAGAAATACCCAGGGGAGGATTTTGATTGCTCAGTTCTCTTTAGAAAGATAGCCAAGAAACTTTAAACTGATGTGTTCTTTCTCTTAATAGATTTCCTTTTAGAACATACAGAAGTTTAATATCCTTTCATGTCCTTCCTTTCCCCCTTGCCCTTTCTTAATTATTAGGCGTTTCCTGTATCACTTTCTCTTGGCAGTATAGGTAGATGAGGATTTGTGAAGGAAAGGTGGGCTGAACACAGCATGGCCCTAAGGAAGCAGCCTTGGCCATTTATCAGTCAAGTTTTAGTTTCAATTTGCCTAAGACTGACTCTGTTACCTTAGAAAGCTCACCGACTCCCCCAGCCAGATTCATTTTCCTTACCTATGAAGCGAGGGTACTGCCTGAAGAATACAGAAGTGGAATTCAAGGACTCACAGAATCTGCTTTTATGCTTCTCCCATCTGTACCACCACTGTATGGTTTATTTCCTTGTATAGAGTGACTTTTGTTAGAAGAATATGGATTAGGGAAATCACACATTCGAAATTCTAAAGGATTTCATTGTGCAGAAAAAAAAATCAGTCTTTGTTTTGTTTTGTTTTGTTTTGTGTGTCTGTGTGTGTGTGTGTGGTGACGGGGATTGAACCCAGGGGGCCTTGTGCATGCAGGGTAAGCTCTCTACCAACTGAGCAATTAAAAATCCGATTTTAAAGCACTACTGATATAAATTAACCTTGAAGAAAGTGCAAGACCCTATTACATAGAATGCTTCCTTAAATTTGTGGTAAAGGAATTTTACCTAACTGGCATCTCGTTTACTAGGTGACAAGAGTAAGCAGAAAATACATTCCTTTAAGTGGCATTTCCTCTTTAAACTTTACTTCTAAAGTCAAATGACCCTTGTCAGCCAAAGTTTCCTTTCCACAAAAAAAAAAAAAAAAAAAAAAGAAAGAAAGAAAGTTTCTTTATTACATCTTTTCAAAACAGCTTCTGGGCTCTACAAACCTCAATCTCGATGCTCCTGTCACCTTTCTTCACTTCTTGGAGATCTTCAATTTTCTTGTGACAGTCCTTGAGGTCCTTTTGTAACTGAGCCACCAGATGTCGCTTCATTGAGTTGCTCCCCAGCAGGCGCTGCACTTCTGCTTTCAACTTCAGGATGACCTCATCTTTGGAAAGCTCTTCACTCAGGTCTTCCTGTGGCATTAAGCTAATGCAGAAATTGTGGGTTAAATTGGATAACAAAGCAAGCACGATTCCTCCTTCAAAGTACTAATGGCGGGCTGGGGATGTGGCTCAAGCGGTAGCGCGCTCGCCTGGTATGCGTGCGACCCGGGTTCGATCCTCAGCACCACATGCCAATAAAGATGTTGTGTCCGCCGAGAACTAAAAAATAAATATTAAAGGTTCTTTCTCTCTCTCTCTCTCTCTCCTCTCTCACTCTCTCTTTAAAAAAAAAAAAAAAAAGTACTAATGGCATCCCTGACCATGTTGTGTTACCTACACAATTATACACTAATATTTCAAACAATTTTAAACTTTGTCATACACAATGATGTCACTTGTGCTGAGTCCCCATGTACAGAAATAAGTTCAAGCAAGTGTAGTTCTGCTGCTTCATTCTAAGGAGTCTGGACATGAGAACTGTGACATGGCTTCCATTTGTGTTTTTGATACATTGCATGCTATATACATGTTTCAAGAGAAACAACATGGACATTAGGAGGAAAACGATACTACACACTAGCTACCCTAACCTTTAATTTCTGTTATCTCTTTCAACTTCCTGAAACACAAGCCTGAATGGATGTCTATGCACCTGAAACAGCACAGAAATAAAAACCATGCTAATTTAAACCCAATTTAGTTTCAATAAACTTAGAGGCTGGGATGAGATATTCTGTTCCTTGCCATAATAGATTAACTAAGACCAGATCTAGCGTCCTCCTTAAGACTGAAAAAAAAAAAAATCAATCAAATAGATAAAGCAGCGGTTTTTAATCATTAAATAGGCCGCAAGAACAGTGATTTCTGAGGATATGAAAACACACACAGTGAGGCCCATGATTGCCCAATTTTTTGCCTAAAGTCTCCAGGGCATAGTGATGGAGGGGAAAAACAGAGACCAGTAATTTCATTAAGCTCCAGACAAAGAGTTCAGAGTTTGGGGAAGCAAAAGTATCTAAAATTTGAGGGGAGAAAATATTGGGGAAAAAAGAGTTGCATAATACAGAAATATATATTTTATATATATATGTGTGTGTGTGTGTATAATATATATATATTATGCACAAAAAATATTTTAAACATAAAATATATATAATGAATAAATAAAAGGAGTTGCACAGAAAAAGAACTTATGTGTATAAGTGTGTGTAGACAGGGAAAGAACCATAGCAAAAGAATAGGGGCAGGAATGTGTTGCATTCCACTGAGCCATAGTGGAAAATTGTACTGTTTCACAGGGTATCAAACATTGCCTTAGCAGAAGGTCAAAATTAGCCCCAGATTAAAGTGTACTCTAAGCATGCTCTGACAAAGCCTATAAACAAACCCTTGAAAGAATGAAATGAATTCCAAATAAGTGTGTCACAAAGAAAGTGTAATTTAAAAAATACAATAGGGGCTGGAGCTGTGGCTCAGAGGTAGATAGAGCGTGTGCCTTGCACATGTGAGGCACTGGGTTCAGTCCTCAGCACAACATAAAAATAAATAAAGATATTGTGTCCATCTACAACTAAAAAATATTTTAAAAAAATACAATAAAATCCAGCATCTGAAACATAAAACTCAAAATGTGTAGCATCCAATCAAAATTTACCAGGCATGCAAAGAAGCAGGAAGGAAAATGAAATACAATCAGGAAAAAAACCAGTCAACAGAAACTGATCAGCAATGACACATACAACAGAATTAATTAAATGTATTCCATTTGTCCCAGAAAGATAAGGAAAAATACAAAAATGATGAGAGCAACAGAGGATATTAAAACAAATTAGACTTATAAGACAACAGTGACAATACCTAAAATGAAAAATGTACTGGATGAGATTAATGGTATATTTTACACTAAAGAAGAAATGATTAGTGAATACAAAGTAAAAAGTGCACACAAATATAAAAAGTGCCATTTGGTTTCAATAAAACATTTGCCATTTGAAATTATGTGTGATTTTATATTGAATAAGAATAGAAGGCATGCTTACTCTTAATTTAATTTATATTCAACTTCCATGTATACATAGTAAAGGACATTAGAATAAAATAAATTTACATCCAAAAATGAAAAAAGAAATCATTAAGTAATCTCTGTGAAGTACATGCAGAAAACCTATTGAAGAGATTTTTCTGTAGTTAAAAACAAAAACAAAAAAACACAGCAATAAAACTCTACAAAATTAAAAACAGAAGAGTGAAACAGAAATATATACAGCATATTAAGTCTTCTAACATGTACAAGTGAAGTCCCAGAAGAGGAGAGGGAAAGGGGACAGAATATTTGAAAAAATAATGGTCAAAATCTTCTTACTTTGATGAAAACTAAAATTCCATAAAACGTACAAGCTAAATGAATCTCAGGCAGAAGAAACACGAGGAAAACCATCATATGTCACATAAAGATCAAACTGCTAAAATCAGTAAAGAGTGCAGGAAGACTTCTGAGGAAAGAACTGGAGTGAACAATCCTGAATTCTGTATATAAACTTGCACAAGTCACAATATAAGCTCTGAATTATACTTGTACAGAACAGACCCTCAAACAAACATAGCAACAATTTGGAAAACAACTGCCACACACAGGTTTCATGATGATTAACTCCTGAGGGAGTTAATGTGGCAAAGGCTTGGACAATTGAGATTTACAACAAACACCCACATAAGTTTCTATATGGAGAGAGATGACAGTGATTGGGAGACCAGTGTCTAAGATTGGGGTCCCTGATGACTTCATGGTTGTGGCATGCTTGGTACCTGGGAAAGTTTCTGTGCAAAGGTGCAGGATGCCTGGTTGCTATGGTAATGCCCTCTATGGGAAGGCTCTGTGCTAGAGTCTTATCAGCCTCTATCTTGCTCTCAGGCACACAGCTCCTGGGAATGAAAGAATTCTCTTGCTAAGATAACCACAATGTTTCACTAGCTCTGCTGCTCCTGAACATGCCTATATAATAGTAATTTTAAACAATGGATTTTCTTGAGAACTACACAATGCTCCTAACGTTGCACATTGCAACTATAGAATGTAACTGAGGAATAAAATGCATAATGTTGTTAACTTGGTAACTTTCATGAATACAAAGAATAATGCTTACATAGTCTTTAATCTAATTAATGAGACATATATAATAAAGATTATAATTGGCATAATTCTTTAGACCTGCTTCTCCATCAAAGAGCAGTGCTCTACCCAATCCCAGCTGTTTATCTTCAAGATCTGAGTACCTGAGTCTTTATTCTTCCAATATCCTATCATCCCTCATTGGAACCTGCTAGTTTGGCAGCACTGGTCATGGCATTTCTATACAACATAAAATTCACAATGCCTAGAATACAATCTGAAATTACTTAGTATACAACTAACCAAGATTGTGACCAATTTTAAAAGACAATATATGATCCAAATGCTAGAACTATCTATCACAAAGGAGTTTTAAAATTTAAAGCAGCCAGGTATGGTGGCATATGCCGGTAATCCCAGTGGCTCGGGAGGCTGAGGCAAGGATTCTAAGTTCAAAGACAGTCTCAGCAACTCAGTGGGGCCCTAAGCAACTCAGTGAGACCCTGTCTCTAAAAAAAATAAAATAAATATATTTAAAGCAGCTATTCTATCTTACGTTTTGTGAAAGAAAACATAAGAAAGCATACCTGAAATTAATAAAAAAAGCAGAATTCTCGAAAGAGAAAAAGTATAAAGTATGAAGTGAAAATTTTATCAATAAAAATAACAGTATCTGGAAGTTTAAAACAAAACAAAAACAAGAACCTCACTGGTTAGGCTCATTAGAAGAGATATAATAGGAGACAATTAGTAAACTTGGAAAGAAGCATAAAACAATTATCCAAATTAAAAACAAAAAAGATAAAGAAAAAATAATTAAAAAATGAACAAAGTCTTAGGGAACTGTGGGTAACCATCAAAGGTCCAATATGTGTAACTAGAGAACCAAAAGAAGAGGAAAAAGGTATTCCAAGAGACAGTGGTTGATATTTTTATAAATCTGGTAAAGGACATAATAGATTCACATATTCAAGACACTCAGTGAACCCCACCTTACAAACTAAAAGAAAAACAAACCTAGACACATCATAATCAAAGTGATAAAAACTAAGGGAAAAAAATCTTAAAACATTAGAGGAGTAAGACTGTTACATATTACAGATAGAAACCATGTCAGAAAGACAATGAAATTCTCTTCAGAAACTACTGATGCCAATGAATCAATGTATCTTTCAAGTGCTCAGATAAATGAATATTTGATCCAGAATTATATAATTAGCAAATATAAGGAAAATAAAATCTGCCACTAGCAGACATGCTCTTAAAAACAAACAGAAAATGCCAAAGATAATTCTGCTGGATAAAGTGAAATTCATCTACCAAAGGAAAATCTCTACACTGAAAACATTATCCAGCATTTTAACAGCAGTTATCCAAAATCAAGTCAGAAAAGAAACTAAAAAAGTTACAAAGCATTAACAACTCATAAAATATTATTGAGAAAAATTAAAGATCTAAACAGCTCAGAAATTGAAGACTCTATCCTTAAGATGTTAATGTTCCCCAAATTGGTTATATATATATATATATATATTTTTTTGGTACTGGAATTGAACCAGAGGCATTTAACCACTAAGCTAAATCCCCAGCCCCTTTTCAAATATTTTATTTAGAGACAGGGTTTTGCTGAGTTGCTTAGGGCCTCGCCAAATTGCTGAGGCTGGCTTCGAACTTGCAATCCTCCTGCCTCTGCCTCCCAAGCTACTGAAAGTACAGGTGCACCACCACACCCAGCCAAATAGGCCTCTAGATTGAACACAAACATGATTAAAATTTCATGAGTTTTTGGTGGAAATTCACACTTGCTATAAAATTCTGAAATGCAAAGGACTTGGAATAGTCAAAGCAATCTTGAAGAAGAAAACAAAGTTGAACGACTTTTCCCAGCCTTTCCAAGACTCACCGTGAAGCCACAGTATTAAGACTGGCATTAG